TATATATATATATATATATATATATATATATATATATATATATATATATATAAGCGTATGTACATGTTTTCGAGCCTTTATATTGTCATGTTCGACAATTTAAAAAGTAGGTTCTAAGTTAGTATTTTTTTTAAAAACTACTTAAACTAGTTTTTTATAATTTTTTTTCAAATATAACTTTAATTAATTATAAAAAACATATTTTCTAAACACATTTTTTATGTCATTTTATATATTCTAATTAACTTATCAGCTAGTTTTTATCAAACATAATTTTTTATCAGCTAGCTAACTAACAACTAGCTTTTCGGTAAGTAGTCCAAACATATAAAACATATAATAGACTAAAACTTAAGGATGTCAAAAGTTGACAGGACACGGAACGAAATTGGGATGGAATTAAATTTCGAATTCATGTTCGTGTTATGTATGAGAAAAACGACGTCGTGTTGTGTCGTGTTTGTGTTCAGAATTCATGTATATTCAGTAGCCTTCTATGTTATTTTTTTTATCGTGCTACTCGTGTTTAAATTATACCAATAATTATTTTATTGTTATTTTTTGTTGTGTTATCGTGTTTTTATTGAGTCGTGTTTGTGTTATCAAATAAAAACACGCTATTGTGTTGTGTTAGACAAAAATACGAAACTGACTGTCCAATTTGACACCTCTACTAAAAATGCAGCATGTGTTAAAAGAAAGTTTTAAACTGTATATCATATCTTATCAGGTAAAAATCCAAAACAAATACGGAATAAAAAACATCCTTACAGTCACATACACACCATAAAAAAACATATAATCTTATTGTATAAGATACACATATTTATTTATTTTCCCGAACATAGAGAAACTTATAGATATTAATCTCAATGAAAACAAATTTTAAAAACACGTGTCATGTTCCAACAACATGGTGTGTGGGGACACATGAATTCAGTTAATCATCTTATTTGCATGCAATTTAGAAAGCACATAAAGCATGAAGATAACAACACAAGTCGTAAAAGCGTGAGGACTTCCTTCCTAGCGGTGGTTCACTTGTTGATTTCTCGTTTTCACTCATGAATAAAACTAATTCACTCAAAATTCATGAATGATCAACTGCAATTACAGTTTTTTGATACATAATATTACTAAATAGCCATGTACCGGGGATTTTAAACTGCAATTATAGTACTTCATGATTCATATTAGTAAAAACTAAAGAAACCAAAACACATTTCCATATATAAATCATGTCAACTAATTTGCATGTGATCAATGGTGTAGGTAGGTACCTTTGAGCTTCGTAGATGGTGACATGAATGCAGGTAACCGGATTGAAGGCATTGTGATCAGAGGAATACGAATACAGTAAAGCTCTGCAAATAGGATGACTAAATAATGAGAGCTAGCATTCACATTTTTAAAGAAGCCAAAGTCTGTTAATTACCCAGTTAGAGTAAACATTCTATAGCCAAACTTTTGTTAGCAAGAGGGTTGTTTGTGTTATATAAGAGGAGTAAAGCTTGAGCAAAACTAAAAAACGAATATGATGAATTCTCAAAAGTAGTGTAAATGGAAACACTACACATGGAATAAATGGTAAATAGGTCAATCAAGTTTACATTGTAAGAAGGACAAATAGGTTGGCAATCAGTTCATATGTTTTGTGCAGTGTACCAGACTAGCTAGCTAAGCAAGTGTTTAATGTGAAATAGTAAAAGATTTAACTAATTAATAATTATCAATAAATATATACCATGTCAT